AGATATACAAAACGAATATTATTATAATATTATTAGATATTGTTACAAATTTGCCCTTTTATATTCGATTCCCGTTCGTATCACTGAATTGTCAACAAACGCCAAGAGAAAAATATTTTATTTTTAATTGTTGACAACTAGGTATATAACTTTATTTACTCGTCGGAATGTTCCAAAACAGCTCAAATTTGTTAAATCCATCAGGAACTCTCGAATCTACAAAACTGAATCCAACTAATTGACTACACTTCCTGTCAGTTTTTCAGTGTTGGTACTATTTCATATTTCTCGAACTACATTCGTCACAATATTATAATAGAATATTATTATTATAAACTATTTTTTCATCAAATGCAGAATATTTTAACTAAATATCTCTCGAATACATTTGGTCTATTTTCGTATAAGACTTTCCAACAAACAGTCAAGTAAAATTAGAAATGAATATATAATAGTATTGGAGTTTTAAGAACGTAGTAGTTTACTCGAAAAGAACGGAATATATTTTGATTGAAGTTCTCTTAGATTTATTAGATATGTTCTCTTACTTTTAAAGAATAGCATGTAAAGTAAAATATACGAATAAAATCATATTTCTATCCAATGAATTGCTCAATAGTCAAAGAACGCACCCAACCTGCCAGGGAATCTCCTTACAGTTGGGGATTATGAATGAAAGAACAGATTTGGTATGGACTTAGGTGAGCGATTCGAAATAGAATTTCACTAGGTATTTTGTATGCGATTTCTGAAAAAACTTGGGGTGAGATTTGAAATGGGAAAAAAGGGTTAGACAACAAAAGATGGCAAAACGATGGATAGAAGAAACGTTACTTGTACTTGAGCTACGAAATCTCGCTACCTCAATTTAAATAGCCTTTAGTAAATGCGTTATGATAATTAAAAAGGTTGCCAATATTGTTGTTAAAACTTCACATGAGCAAGGTCTGTGCTGACTATAGTCATGGAACAATATTAAAAACATTAGGAGCCCACAAAATACCTCCGTGCGATGGAGACTATTTAACAAAACTTCATCGCTTTGGTAGAAAATTTTAGGTACACCTTCTATCACTTTTAACGTAGCAAAACGAAGGCTCACAGATTGACCCAAACAATTTGGTTTGGTAAATAGATGAATAAAAAATGGATGAAGGCACTGGTGCTGGTGTAGATGGATCCAACACCAGAATTTTGGAGGCAATGGGCATATGGTTCAGTGTCTTTCATGCTGAAATTCATAAAATCAACTTATGTGTAAGATCCAATATCATCGAAAAACCGTCTGGTTTGGGTTATCTGGTTATTTACTCCGATAGTCATGTTACTCTTAAAGCTCTGTCTTCTTGGACTTTCAATACGAAAAAGGTACTTAAGTGTTACGTACTTCTACAGTTACTTGCACCTTGGAATGAAGTAAGTCTTTACTGCGTTTCGGGTCCCAGAAGAGATTTGGGAAATGAACAAGCCAAAACTGCATCAAAACCTCTTTTTACAGGCCCTCAATCCTTTTGTGGGTTGAATTATGGAATTTTTGTCACCAGAACAGATAAATGCGTAAATTTATTGTACTACGTGCATTATTATTTAAATGTTAAAAATGTAATATTGTGCGATACTTGTCAAATTGCGTAGGAACACGCCTTTTAAGTAAACATATTATAGCAGTTTAATACTGGATTGTAGCCTGACTCAAGTTGAATCAGAATAGTTATTTCAGTACGAAGAACTCTTTTTTTCTTCATAGAAATGCGAAATTGAGACCTGTTAAAAACCAAGCTGCATTTTACCTTCTGTTAATCATTTTATTTTGAATTCGTATATTCATTTTGATTAAAAATTGCTGCTCTAATGAGGATTGCCCACTCTAGACTTTATTTCTACACCCTGTTGAAGATTTTTAATTGGCTATAATGTAGTTTAATAGAATTTTAAATATTATTGTACAGTCGTAAATATTTTACTGCTATAAGTGATGACACTTAATACGATTATTTCGTTCTTGTCATATGAAGCTTACCAATATTTGATACGCAAATTCTTTCTCGATAAAATTCTTCTTCATTTTAAAAGCTTCCTCGAAATTTCATTACAAATAATTATGTTTTAACATTTCTCCTTCTCAAGAAAGGGAAGCTCTTCTAGTTTATTGCATCACATTTTGTTTGTTAGTATTGAAACAGATTGAGAGCTCTTAAGAAATCCAATTGCAAATGCTAACTAATAGCTAAAATCTGTAGCTTAAGGATTACACCATTGTTGTCTAAAATTAGTGGTGTCGTGAATTGAACCAGTACCCAGGTAATATGATATATAGTATATACTTGTCTTCAGAAACAATTTAACGCCTTTCTCCATATGTTGTCCGCTGAAGAATAGATCGCTTCACCTATTTAAGTGACTGTTTATCGTTTGTGCAAATGAGGAAAATTACAAAGTCACAGGATAAAAATTTCAAAGAAATATATGCAATCGGTAAAGTTTAATAAAATTATATTATATATTATATGTACTGTTATATGTACTTTTATTTATTATTATATGTACTGTACATATATATGCATTTTATATAGCTTTCACAGAGAGCTGAGCAACGAACTGTTAATGAAATATACCCTTAGTTTCATTTACTTTATTTTAATTTCTCATAATTTATTTTATGCAGATTTTTAAAGCAATTTTAATAGTTTGCATAATGGTTTCATAATGAGATAATCTGCATGATTCATGAATTCAGTTCCTCACACACACATAATTTATCCTTAAAGTAGTAGTTAAAAGCTTTTTAACTCCATAAAACATGAACAACAAGACAATGGGAGCATTTTCATATTAATTGTGGCAACGTTTATAACACTATATATATATATATATAACAATAACAACATAACTAATAAAAACAAAAACAGGACAATTAATGTCCTGGCATGTGAGCTCCAGTACAAAACTAAAATCTTTTGCTTCTTTCCTGTTGCGGTTCTTTAAATTTGGATCGCTTGCATTATATAAATATAATAAAAAATATTTGAATACGAAAAAACTTAAATTTTAAATATCATAACAAATTTCAATAATTAATAATTTAGAATGAAATGGTAAAAGTAATTATTTAAAATATTATGATTTGATCAGTGATAATAGCAGGAATCAGTGAAGTTTGCAAAAAATGACGGTCTCGCACCTTAAAGGACATCTTAATAACGTTTAACATATTAAATAAAACTTTAATTTTATTTACACGGGAATAATAATTTCGTCTACTAATATATAATGGTTATATACAGAATTATATATAATCTGATCCGAGCATGTATAATTCATAGTGCATAATTACATGAAAACTATGATAATAATATTGAATTTCAATATTTAGTAGTAAAAAGTATTTATTAGTACACAGGATACTAATATGTATAAATCTCTAACACTTTGTTCAGGATTCTGTACATAATTCGCAAATTATGCAGTAATATGTACCTGCTTTCATTCCAAATTCATATAAAATGCATACAAAATCTATACTTACAATTATTATGTAAATGTAAACAGTAGAAGAGAAATAAACCACATACCATGTGCTAGGGCAGCGCCCCAGACTGATGCACAAGCAGAAGAAACACCTAAGAGTGTATTTCATGAAACATAGGGATTCAAAACTAGGAAAGATAGGCTCTATAATATCTTTTATTATATACAAATATAGTGATATAGGTATACCTTATAAAATGACTCGGATTATAAATAATTTTATTGCTTTACTAAAGCATGTAAAAGACTGATATACTTTCGCAAATTACCAAACATCTTTTAATACATAGTAAATCGATGTAATTTTCAATTAAACTAAAAACTGAAAACTTTTTTCCATTGATCGAAAACTATTTAATAATAGTCTTTTTGTTGTTTGATTTTATATAAAGATAGTAAAATCCAAACGCACCTTTTTTGTTGAGAGGTTCACGTACCACTGATTTATTCTTAAAACATATTATTAACAATAGCAAAACAAAACAAAACAAATGGAAAGCTGCGGCTATTAAAAGCTTTTTTTGGTTGTAAATAAATGTTAAATAATTGAAATCAAAACAAGTACAAGAGCACCCAATTGACTTAACATCCATTTTCGTAAAAATTCACGAGGTTGTCTGCTTTGAACGGCTATCAAACACCAACCGAACGACGTAGCTTGCTCAAAACTAAAACTTTGTCCACTGATAGATTACAGCTGACGACAGCATTGTTGCATTTAGAGTAACTGCGCGGGAAATCCAAAAAGTCACTGACTTATCACACCGCCCTCGTATAATACTTAATTTTCTCATAAATTATTATATAAAAACAGTTTGTTTTTTAATTTTTCGCATTTTTTTATTTAACAAAATAAAAACTTTCACAAATATTAAAAGATATATTTATGTTCTGTTAGTACAAACTAATTTTTAACACTAAGCAAACTTAAAGGAACAAGTACTTCACATATTAATTGATTGTTGCGTGTGTTTAAATAATAACAAATTTAAATTAAACGTCCACAAATAAAAATTAAATATTAATTCTAACTAACAAAAATAAGCAATTATACGTTAATTTAAATACTATGCCATCAAAACTATATTTAATTTAGGGATGAGCAACTGATACTGCCAATATATATATATATATATATATATATATGTTTTATATACCCGTACTGTTGGTAGTGCTCTTTAATTGTGAGTGAATGAAAATATATCTATCTTTTATATCATGTAAATTTAATGAAAATATAAACAACTAAAATTATACACTTTAATTTGATTTATAAATTTTATTTATATTTCAAATTAAAAAATAATATTCAATTTTTAAATAATAAGAAGTCTTGTAATAAAAACTAAATAAGATAATATATACCTTAATTTTCTTTTGCTAGTATTTAATATCAAATAATTTATTAACAAATCAAATGGCCACTTGGTTATATTTGGTTTAATTGCAAGCTGAAATAAACTAATTAAAGCTTATGTCTTAGTACGCTGTCTGGCGTAATCCAAGGCCTCGAATAATATGCGTTTTTCTGTTATAAGAAATTCTAGTATCATAACTTCAATATGGCTTAATTGTGTCTTATTCGTTTTGTGTAACTCCAATTTTTGTTCATCTTCTGAAAGTTTAGTAGGATAACCTCTAGTAATTAACATTAAACGAACCTCCAAGTACTTCCATGTTTTTACTTCTAAACTTGTCTCTAAAGCACAATCATTATGTAGCAAATCCAATTCACGACCACATGATGACCAATGATCTAATTGTTCTTTATTCATATTGAAGATACGAACAAATGCTAATAGCTGAGGTGAAATGTACTTTGGCGCCTTGAGTACTGATAATGAATTTAATTTGCTTAATTTCATTTTTGCTAATAGCTCTGCTCTGGCTACCTTAAGTGGATCAGATGTACTCAAGCCTAATTTAATATAAACACCATCACTCGGATGTGTTGGATTAACGTAACTAGTATATAAAAGAATGTTCATTAATTAACTAAAATCATTAATAATGCTTATGAAATTTACCCATTATGTATCATTAAATCTGAATTGAAACGGTCACCGTAATGTATAAAAACTTGCTCGCCTTCCTTAAAATCTGATTGTGCGGTACTATCCATAACATTGGTTTCTACATTGTAAAATGAGGTAATAGTGCCATGGCAATGATTTGCCATATCCCAAAAAGGTATTAATGCTGCTATCTGTATTGGTGGCGATTCCAGATCCTCATCAGTGGGTTGGCATGGTATCAAGTTTTCGCGTGTCATCACAGTAGCAACAGCCCAACTAAAAAATAATATATATATTATTTTACAAATAATGTAAGCAGTTTTTATTTAATTTTATAAACAGATTTTTCCGAACAGTAGTGAACTATAGCAACAAAAATTTATTTTCTATATTATTTTAATTAATTGAATTTTTGGCTGACCATACAGATGTTTCGAGTATTTCCAAGACCTATCATCAGTGGTCTTGGAAATAATTCTTGTATTTAATTATTCGTAAATAAATATTTTTGAGACTGCAAGTACCAGGAATCAAATTTTTATATATTTTTATATATATTTATATATAAAATTAATATATTTAATTTTATATATTTTATTAGTTTTGTCTCGAGTCTATTTCTTCGTAGGGATTATGTATTCAAAATAAAATAATTTTAATATCAATAGATTTTAATAATAGTATCTTCATTATTTTGTATGATATGAATAATATGATGAATGAACGAAATTAACATTTTGGTATAATAAAAAAGCTTGAAGGTTTCTTCTTTATAATAGATTTTTAGCATTAACTTTCAAAATTTGTGCCGTAATATGTATAACATCTCCGCAATACAGAATTTATGGAATATTTATAGAACCAGCTAAACCGTTCGACTATAAAACAGAGTTTTTAAAAAACAATAACATTTTCTTGCTCAATCTCATGCAGCAAAAATAAAGCTTTTAAACTCAACCACTTTTGCCTACAATTACGATGTAACAATGTTGTAAACTTCCCAATTTTCAATCATTTTTAACCGATCGTCTTTAAACTTTGAAGATTATATATAATCTCTGAAAAAAATCAGTGTTATAACGTATGACAATGATTCACCATTTTCGCTATGAGCGAGGTACCCCAATATTCCTTAACAATATAAACGCATTCTTTCCTCTTGTAAAAATTCTCTTTGGTGATAGATACTGTCACCTATCATTAACGCAATCTTCGGCCACCTGGACTTCGGTTTTTCCTGCACCAAAAACATATCCATGATTTTCTATCGGTGAATTCTCCACAATCTCTGGCAGTCCCTGACATTATGCTGACATACTTATCTCATGTCACTGAATCACATACAATCAGTTGAAATACCACAATAACGCGCTTAAGCTTTTGTAGAATGTTTTTTAAGGTAATACTCGTATGTAGTAGGGAAACACTGCTGTATAGATATTTGGTTGATATTAGTGGCGGCAGAGCTTTCTTTTTTTTCCAAGTAATAGGCAGGCGCCGTTCTCTTAATACCCACTCGATTAAGGAAATATAAAATTGAAACCAACCTGTGCAGTTCAAAAAGTAGATTATTTTTTAGGATCAGTGTTTAGGATGTTCGTTGGGGTCATTACTTAGTAAACTTTCATAGCGCAGTGTTTTCATCTGTCCAGGCCTGGGCATTTACCAAAAAATTATGCTATCGAAACACACTGTATTCGTTTTGTAATTTAATTGCTGTTGGTGATTCTATCGATCTCCGCGGATCACATCAAGTCACAACTATCAGACACTACAGAGCAACAACTATTAACAATGCACATTTTAACATTTAGCGTAGATACACATTCAACCCAAAAAAGTAAGAGCTATTTTCACATCGACAAAATACCGAGTGAAAACACCATGATATGCTGAACCTTGCATTGGCCTTAAACAGTTTGGACAATATGTTTGATGTCAATGGGTTAGCTCCCTACATCATCTACAGAGATCACCACACCCTACAGCTCGCGATTGTAAAAACAATTTTACCCATCACGATTTTTAAGACGTGTTTTGAGTTACCTTGGCTTTATTATTTCAGCATTTTCTTGCACCTAACAACACATGTCTTCTTTTAAGTAATTGTCAAATTATGGAGAATCCACCGCGAACAAACTTTTTTGTACAATAAATGAACTACACGGTCGAAAATTTTCATTTAAATTTAAAACTCAGAGGGGTTTTATATTTATCCAAACTTAAATGAGTTTATAATTTAAACCATTCAGCTTAATAGAATCTTAATGGATTTTAAATAAAACTTGCGGGTTATGTTATCAACTCACGCAGTTTATTTTCTGCGTTTTAAACTTTAAAGTTGAAGCATTCAACTTCTAGAGTTTATTTTCTTATATATTACCAATTATAAACTTTAGTAGGTTTAAAAAGTCAACCTCTGAGTTTGAAAATATTGATTTAAACCCTAAAAAAGTTTACAGGGTTAAGAATTTAAACTGAAATTTTTGACCGTGTATATATCTTTATTTAGAATAACGTAAAGATATAATTGTACCAATGGCGTATATTAAGAATATCAAAACATTCATTTTCTGAAATTTTCCGTACCTAATCTGGACTGATTAGGTACAATCAAGACAATTCTGACCGCAATTTAAGATATCGTACTAAACGAGATTTAAAAGTTCAATACGTATTATTGTACCAATCGTTGGGCGCTTCCTTGTCCTTAAAATAGTGCTATCATCATTCAAAATATATTGTTAAAAAAAAACTGTTGACGTTAGTTTTAAGGACAATAACATTACTTATAAAATCAAGTACAGGACATTTATTGTCCAGGCCTTTACGCTGTAGTAGAGAATAAAATATTTTACTTGTGCCCTATTTCGGTTCCAAAAATGTAGGTCAGTTTAAACTGTCTATTTTAATTCTTTTAGTTTTAGTACGTGAATGTAGCAAAGAAAAATTTTTCCCTTTTTATTTTCATAGGCAACTGGCAATTATTAGCAACACAAATTTAAATAATAATTACTGTTTAGTGTAATTGCCTAAAAGTGTAATGCAGTCCAAATAATTATGCAAATTTTTAATGCTGTTATTTTGCTATTTTGCTCTATAAATATTAATAATTCAGAGTTTGTGCTATTTTTCTTTGTAACGATTTTGTTATCTGAAAACTCGATTAAAAATTTTAATTGTGAAATAATAATGCGTGCGTTGGAATTTAGGACATCGTTTAAAATTTTCGGTTTATTTTTGATTATGTACTGTATTTAAATTATACTGTATTTAAAAATTATTTACTTATTTCGTAAATTTTTATTAATATTCATAAATCACTTTTTCTGGTACTATTTCGATTTTCAAGGCATAATAAATGTTTATTTAACAATGAATTATAGTTTAAACAACTATATTGACCGACTTTTTCCACCACACTATATGTTAAAATTAGTTTTCGATATATCTCGAACTTAAAACTTGGGATTTTTTACATAATAAGTATTAGATCGTGCGTATATTTATTGTTACCAGTTAATAAAGAATTACATATAATACTAGGCAGTAGACAGTGTCATTAATGTTAAAAGTCCATAACTTTAAAACTTGCTGTAAAGCATATCGACCTAAAGCTGAAATAGCTGAACATACTAAAATTCATTGCTAATTTTAAGAGTGTTTTGCAGAGACAGAAATAAATGGTAGCCAGATAACGCAAGACCTGGGCTATAAAGTGAATGCATAAAAACTTCCAAGTCAAGTCCCGTCTAGTCATCAAAGATGTGTGTGGCCTAATATTGTCATAATGGAACGATAATCATTTCAGTAAGCAATTGTCGCAATCCCATAAGCATTGTATTATCGTAAACCCATCAAACAATCAACATAACTCTCATAACCATCAATCCAGATTTTGAAGTCGTTTGTAAAGGTTCACAACTAAAAGTTACGAACATCTGCGTTGAATATAAAGATAAGAGAAAGAACGGGGTACTAGCTCCCATTTGAGCAGAGCACTGCGACCACATCCCATTTGTGCTTCAACAGACCCTAACTGAATAGAAGACATTCCGCCTTCTGGATAAAGGCTAAAATGTCGGTCGTTGAGGACCTCCTAATGTCGGAAGAGGAGAGCAATTCCCGACCCAGTGACCTCCTTCTGGCCCAGATCAAAGCTGGGCAGTCACATAGAATGTGACTGGTTGTCTCCTCTGCTTCTAAGCTGAGTCTACAATCTATCTCTTCGGACAGGTCCCTTTTGTTGAGATGGTAACGTATCCCGTGGTGACCCGTTAGATATCTCACCAGCAACCTCAACTCTGTTCTGTTGAAGAAGGATATCTTATTGTAACCATAGGGATGAACCAGCTCTTTAGCCTGACGGTTACCTCGACTGTCACGCCAGTAGCGACTTCCCTCGGTTGAAATCCAATTATTGATTATAGACCTAGTTGTAGACCAACTTAATCCACAATAAGGTTCTGGTCTACAGATTTGAGTGGCAGATCCTGCCCGTGCAAGACTTTCGGCAGACTCATTACCATTGACTTATACCATTGATTCCTGTGTGATCAGGCACCCAGCACAGCAACACTTTATTATTGCTTGCCAGCTGCTGCAGTGTGTCATAGCAGTCTACTAGAAGCTTTGAGAAAAACTTCCAGGAGCATTATGCTTTGACTGCTGCTTGACTATCTGAATAGATTCAGATTGGGGCGCCTTTCAACCCCTTGTTAATGTTGATGCGAGCGCAGACCTCGATGTCGTGAACCTCTGCTTGGAAGACAGTGGGCCATATACCCAGCGCGAGCGAGATTCTGGCGTTGGGACCAAATATTTCAGCACCAACTCCTTCATTAGTTTTTGAACCATCAGTGTGCCACGATATCACTTTTGGTTCAAGTCCAGGAGTGCCATTTACCCAGTCCAATCGATCGGGTATGAGGACTTCGAACTTTCTACCAAAGCGAAGTTCCATGTTCATGCGATCTCTCCTATCGCAGATCTCTATGCCAGAAACTAGTCTGTAGATAGAGTTTTGACTGTCGAGACTTCCGTGCATGTTGATGACAGGGTGTAGCCTAGCTGCACTCATAGCTGCTGTCTTTTCAATAAAGAGATGCAGAGGGGTGAGACCCACTATGGACTCCAGTGCTGATGTGGGACATGTTCGAATAGTTCCCGTTATAACGATATATACGAGTTTTTGCAGCTTATTGCATTTGATTATTGCAGCCTTTTGCTGCGCTTTATTCCACCAAAGAAGAACTACTTAGGACACAATGGGTCTGACCATTGTGCGGTATAACCATGATATAATTCTAGGACTTAAGCCACAGATTCTACCATATGAGGTCCTACATGACTACATGACCCGGGTGGCTTTGCCTATTATCTTATCCAGGTGAGTGTTCCAGTTAAGACGCTTATCTAAGGTGACCCCTAAATATTTGACTTCATCGGAGCATTCGATAGCCGTATCTTTAATAGATAGGGACCCAATATTTAATTTGTATCTTCTGGAAAATGGTACAATTACAGTTATTTTTGGGTTAATACTTAGCCCTTCTTTGATACACCAGTTCGAGATTTTGTGTAAGGCCGCCTGCATTACATCTGTAACTGTGGTATCAAATTTACCAGAAACAATGATTGCCAGGTCATCTGCGTAACGTATGGCATGATATACAGATTGCTCCAGTTTAACTAGTGAAAGAACCCCACCCTCATACAACAGCCTCGTACAACGTTAATGTTGACGATAGTGCTACCTAACTTGGAAGATATGTTCCTATCACGCAACATTCTATCTATCCACGTTATTGTACATGAGTCTCCAGTACATGAGGCCAGTGCTCCAGATATGGATTCGTAAGATGTTGAATATTTTCGTATTTAATTCCTTTTTCATCAGCCGTAAGAATTCACTTTAAAAAAGATTCAGTTTTGATGAGCTTCAGCAGCGTTTCACTGATGGTCATTTAGTCAATCAAACTTGATGCAGCATGTATGGTGCAGCAATGGACAAAACGAGGAAAATTATGCGTCTATCTACAATAAGTTCCTTCCTTAAATTTCTATTCGACATCTTTAATGTATTCGTTAAAGGCATTATCTTTTAGTTCAAAATGACATTGTAGTATTCTAATCCAGAAAAGTGTCCCTGTATATATTCAGCTATTGTACATTAAAACTTAAACATGTGTTCATAAAACAGCATTGTGAGGTCATTTTTTAATAAAAACTGATTCCAACTACTATTTATATACAATATCTTATATATATATATAAAGAGTATATCAGAAAACTTTTATATGTGTAGAGTATATTGTGAAAGTCAACACACTACTCAATACGTTTAAAGGATCAACAACTTTTAGTCGAAATTGGATTTCATTACAGCAATACAATTCTTTTTTAAGAGTGATACATTCATTTTATAAATCTTTCTTTAACATTAATATATTTTTTGTAGAATGATTTATTTGATTGAGGACTAATCTTCTTTCCTGGCGCATTCACTTAAAGTATAAACAAATATTAGTTGTCATTAGCCAGATTTGGCGAATATATTGAATAGAACATCTATTTAAATTGCAATTTGTTTAATTATACCGTTTTGTGATCGACTTATGATATGATATATTGTTTTGGTGATATAAAGTGTACACAAATTTACTAATTGCTGTTTTTTGCCAGGCTAGTCGATTAATAAAGTGTCCGGTATATTCCAAAATACAAGGACAAAACCTTTACTAGCTCGCATTTGCATTTCTAGTCGGTTTTGGCTGCTTTTGCCACTCAAAATATCATTCTTTTTGGACCTGAAACATCATCAAACAATGCTGTTAAGCAAACGCTATACCTATTTTGAACACAATTTTTAAATTCCCAAATTTTTGTGAAAAATTGTGTTTAATATCTCGTTCTGATATCTTCAAGAAGTCAACTTTATTTTTTATTAAAATTCCTGGTTTCAATATACGATCAGTAAAGCACCGAGTAATACCTGATTTCGACTAAGAAGAATCACCATTTTTTGCTATTGCTGAATTGTAAATAATTTTTTTTCTTACATAAGAAATGCTCTACTTTATCAACAACATTCAAAATTCTAATGTTACCTTTGAAAACTACAAAAGTAGCCTCACTTTGACGTTAGTTTCCTATTAAATTTTGCCAAGCTTCGTTTTAAAGCTACCACTTTCTAAATATTATATGGATTCTTCAATAGTAGGACTATCTATTCTATATGTCATTCCAGTGGGCAAGACTGAAAATATTCCCAAGGTAAAACATTCATGTCGCAAGAAGCAACTTTAGTCAAATGAGCACCATTTGTTACTGTCTGGAGTATAAATGGAAGTGAGAATCTGGTGAGGATGAAGAATCTGGTATCACGGAAGTCAGGAACCACAACTTCGGTTGCTCTGACCAAAAGAAGTTAACTCCTTTAAGAGGACTCTTGTAGTGGCTATGGTTAAAGTCTAAAGTTTCTACACGGGTAGAATGACTGTATTCATTACTTTTATTCTATGTGACAGCAGAAGTTTTAGTTGGGCCTCACTCTCTCCCAAGTTGAAAAGTATATATCACGTATAATATCATAATCATAATCAAGTTAAAAAATTATGGACTCTTTGCGTAACGTTATATATCTACTTAGATAAAGATATAGTTAATTGTTTTTGTTTTCCGGTTAATTAAAGAAAAATTAAATAACATAGAGACCCTATTTTATAAGAATTTGTTTTTTATTAGTAATTAGTCAATAGTAAGTATTAATTAGTTAAAATCCTGTATTATTTTACTACGAATGAATTTAATGTTACTTTTAAAAAAGAAAACTATCTATAAAAAAAATTTACTAACTTTAAAAATTTTAATAATTTCACCTACAACAACAACTTAACCTAGAAAGTACCTCTGATAATAAATTTGCTTTACTCCAGTGTTCAAAATCACTGCATTTAAATTTTATCTTATATATAAAAATGAGTCGAAAAATGTGTTGGTAAGCGCATAACTCAACAATGCCTGGACCAATTTGGAATTAGCAATAATTCGATTTTTTCTCGCCGTAAATTTATTATCAGAGGTACTTTCTAGGTTAAGTTGTTGTTGTAGGTGAAATTATTAAAATTTTTAAAGTTAGTAAATTTTTTTTATAGATAGTTTTCTTTTTTAAAAGTAACATTAAATTCATTCGTAGTAAAATAATACAGGATTTTAACTAATTAATACTTACTATTGACTAATTACTAATAAAAAACAAATTCTTATAAAATAGGGTCTCTATGTTATTTAATTTTTCTTTAATTAACCGGAAAACAAAAACAATTAACTATATCTTTATCTAAGTAGATATATAACGTTACGCAAAGAGTCCATAATTTTTTAACTTGATTATGATTATGATATTATACGTGATATATACTTTTCAACTTGGGAGAGAGTGAGGCCCAACTAAAACTTCTGCTGTCACATAGAATAAAAGTAATGAATACAGTCATTCTACCCGTGTAGAAACTTTAGACTTTAACCATAGCCACTACAAGAGTCCTCTTAAAGGAGTTAACTTCTTTTGGTCAGAGCAACCGAAGTTGTGGTTCCTGACTTCCGTGATACCAGATTCTTCATCCTCACCAGATTCTCACTTCCATTTATACTCCAGACAGTAACAAATGGTGCTCATTTGACTAAAGTTGCTTCTTGCGACATGAATGTTTTACCTTGGGAATATTTTCAGTCTTGCCCACTGGAATGACATATAGAATAGATAGTCCTACTATTGAAGAATCCATATAATATTTAGAAAGTGGTAGCTTTAAAACGAAGCTTGGCAAAATTTAATAGGAAACTAACGTCAAAGTGAGGCTACTTTTGTAGTTTTCAAAGGTAACATTAGAATTTTGAATGTTGTTGATAAAGTAGAGCATTTCTTATGTAAGAAAAAAAATTATTTACAATTCAGCAATAGCAAAAAATGGTGATTCTTCTTAGTCGAAATCAGGTATTATTCGGTGCTTTACTGATCGTATATTGAAACCAGGAATTTTAATAAAAAATAAAGTTGACTTCTTGAAGATATCAGAACGAGATATTAAACACAATTTTTCACAAAAATTTGGGAATTTAAAAATTGTGTTCAAAATAGGTATAGCGTGTGCTTAACAGCATTGTTTGATGATGTTTCAGGTCCAAAAAGAATGATATTTTGAGTGGCAAAAGCAGCCAAAACCGACTAGAAATGCAAATGCGAGCTAGTAAAGGTTTTGTCCTTGTATTTTGGAATATACCGGACACTTTATTAATCGACTAGCCTGGCAAAAAACAGCAATTAGTAAATTTGTGTACACTTTATATCACCAAAACAATATATCATATCATAAGTCGATCACAAAACGGTATAATTAAACAAATTGCAATTTAAATAGATGTTCTATTCAATATATTCGCCAAATCTGGCTAATGACAACTAATATTTGTTTATACTTTAAGTGAATGCGCCAGGAAAGAAGATTAGTCCTCAATCAAATAAATCATTCTACAAAAAATATATTAATGTTAAAGAAAGATTTATAAAATGAATGTATCACTCTTAAAAAAGAATTGTATTGCTGTAATGAAATCCAATTTCGACTAAAAGTTGTTGATCCTTTAAACGTATTGAGTAGTGTGTTGACTTTCACAATATACTCTACACATATAAAAGTTTTCTGATATACTCTTTATATATATATATAAGATATTGTATATAAATAGTAGTTGGAATCAGTTTTTATTAAAAAATGACCTCACAATGCTGTTTTATGAACACATGTTTAAGTTTTAATGTACAATAGCTGAATATATACAGGGACACTTTTCTGGATTAGAATACTACAATGTCATTTTGAACTAAAAGATAATGCCTTTAACGAATACATTAAAGATGTCGAATAGAAATTTAAGGAAGGAACTTATTGTAGATAGACG